ACCCCCTAACTTTCCCTACCACACAACCCACTGCAACATCCTCTTTTGCCTCCTATGGCCATCCACCGCCTCGTCACCATCCTCCTGTCTTCCACTCACCAAATCAACCACCACCTTTGGATACATTTAGTTATGTTTACTTGTGTTGTTGCATTTTCTTTTCAAGTGTGTGTGATTATAATCACAAATTTATTTTTAGTAATATTATTTGTGTTCCTATAATTTGGGTTAATTCTACTATTATTTAGTATCAGAACCAGTATAATCCTAGTCATGTTCTAGGGTTTCTAGCATCGGCCAGTACTCCACCCTATCTCCACCAGCACCCTTTTGCTTTTTTTTTTCCAAACCGGCTACCCAAAATTTTTTTCTCACACCCTAACTCATCCCCACACACCCTTCCACCCCTTTGACCCTAATTCCTAGCCATGCCGCTTATCAGAAATTCACAAAGGGATGTTCATTAACTTACCATGGAAGAGGTGCAGTGGCAAATCCTCTAAGTGCAACAGAAGTTTGTCGTCATCAAGAAGAGACAATTTGAACGGATCACCCGTTGCCACAAGATGACCAACGAGATTGAAGAAATGTAGTGAATTTCTTCCACCATGCAAATATCGGGGATGAAAAACCTCTACCCAGAGATTTGACCTGAAATATTAGATAAGTCGGGATTTTGAAGTAAGTGAATTTGCAGTGTTTTGACAACCAATGGGATCTTGACAAGTTCATCAACTGGCTCCAGACCGTAAACAACTAGTTTGAGTAATAGTACATTATCTTAGTGGAAAATTTTGAACAGCCTTTGCCAGCATGAGGGAAAAAACAAGTTCACTACTTAGTCTAAAGATGAAACGAGAAATACAACACTAGTACTTGACAGATTACTACAAACCGAATGTTCAGACTATAACATCAAAAGTGAAGATTACATCACCAGATAACCACATCTTACAGATAGGGTTCAATCCTAGGATCTTACAGCTAGAGTATGCCCAGGAGAACATCCAAGCCAACCTCGCCTGAGGGAAACTAATTCAGAGTGAAGAACAAGTGAGCCAATCAGTTTTCCCAAATCTGTCCTAACCAAGAAGTGCTTCAAGTGCCATGGATTTCTATATATTGAATCAGATTGTACAAACAGAAGAATGATTTCTTCCACTGATCATGGAACGATTGAAGAAATAAAAATTGATTTGAGAGAAAATAAAGATTTCATAGAGGATTCTCAAATTTCAACCGACAAGGAAGAAACACCAACGACTCCAACTAAAGTAACAGTAATTGTTTGGAAAGGGAGTGATATGAAGTAAGTCTTTATGAAGAGCATGAGATTGTGGTGCCTCGAACGACTATTTTGCAGTCAACATGAGAAATCACATTAGGATCTCTCAAGGAAATAACATCCTACAATAGGATCTAAGTTTTACTCGAGAAGAAGATGCCTCACCAAATTAGGTGCTATCAGATGTTTTGAGGCTTGGTTTATGAAGATATAAATTCACATGCAACTCCAACTCAGATTGTGACAAAAAAAAAAATTAATACTTATTCTATTAAGACATGCTTCGAAATGACAACGCCTACATGTTTAACTTACCGGGAGAGTATACGTTTATGTTACCTTCAACATGACCAATCGACATTATACTACGAAAAGCCAAAAACTTCGACTGATGAGTTAAAAGCTCCCCCAACCTTAGGAGGCCGACGCAGGCATCTCTCGCTAATAACGCTCAATAGCCAAAGAAGGAAGTCCCATGCATGAGCGGGCAAAGATCTGCTCGTGTCGACTAGTTTGTTTTCAGGCTTTTGTGTTTGTGGAGTGATCGGTCGGCCCTTGGCCCACTCCTATTTATCTTATTATTATATATTTGTGTTTTGGAGAATTTAGGGTTAGTTTTATCGTGTTTTTGTTCAGGATAGTCATCGACGTCCAAGTTTCTCCCTTTTAGGGTTATATCCGAAAGCAAGTGATGCTTCGACTGTAACTCATCTGAGGTAGTGATTTTCTTCTAAGAGTCGAGTGATGCTCCAGCTGTAGTTCGTTCCCGAGAAAGTGCTTATCCTCAACTTCGCGACCTTCACAACCATCCCCTCAATGTCGCTGACGCCTTTACTCGCTGTCAGAACCACCAGACATCGCTTTTGCGTTGCCTTCTTGCAACTCAATTAGCTAGCTACCACCTTCTCCACCTGCTACCAACCTTCTAGCCACATCCAACCTTCCTGCCATTCATTCTAATAGGCCATCCTCGTTGTCCAGCTATCCCCCTCGTTGTCTCAGCCCCGAGATAGCCCTTCTTTTATTTTTTCGTAGTCCCACGCATTCCCTGCCGCTTCCACCGTCATTTGCGCTAGTTGATGTTGTAAATCCCCTTAAGTAGAATGAAGTCGGATTCTTAAACATTAATGTGCCTTTTGGTGTAATAGTGAAATTTGGATAGAAATTCCAAAATTAAGTGTGCTCGCATAAGAGCACTCTTAGGATGAGTGAACTCTTGGGAAGTTACATAAATGAGGCAAAACAGTGAGGCCACTAGGCCAAAGCGTACAATACCTTAATTGACAAGAGTTTGGAGTGTAACAAATGGTATCAAAGCATTACACCAATAGGATGATGGGAACTGTGTCATACAAAATAAAGTACTGCAAGAGGTCTGAGCAAAACCATAAAACGGCTAGGCTAAAGCGGACAATACCTTGATGAGTTAGAGTTTGAGCTGTCACAATTGCCACCCCGAATAGCTATTTGTTGTTGTTCCAGCCGTCCCACCAGACCCTATTTTCTGTCTATCCGCCGGCCAACCCCCATTTTTCCCCACTGCAACTTCCCCTTCCGCTTAACATCCACCACCTCGTCACCATCCTTCTGCCGCCACCCACCAAACCGACCACCACCTTTAAATACATTTAGTTGTGTTTGCTTGTATTTATTACTGTATTTCCTTTTCAAGTGTATATGGTTGTAATCACATAATTGCTTTCAGTAAAAACATGTATATTGTTTGGGTTAACTCCAGTAGCACACAACAACAACAATTCCCATCTTAAGAAATCACGCCTTCCAACTTATGGAAAGAATGCATATGTCTAAAAACTCATCTACCACTTACAGAGTAATAGGAACTATTCTGCCCATAAAATCCCGCATTGTTAAGCAATTATCCATACAAATAGATTCTATTCATATTTGACTTTAACTGTTTTTTATTTTTTTTTTAATAATAGCTAGGAGTAAATTTTTGAAAATAAGCAGTTCGCCTTACTGTTAAAGAATGAGGCAGAAAACCTTGAACATGAAATTAAAAGTTGCACTCTTTCAAGAATAATAATCCATTCAATTTTCGTTAGTTTCATGAACAACTATATAGCCTAAATAAAGCCTGTCGTGATCACAACAGATACCTTTTTATGACAATAGTAGGGTGCCAAATGAAAAAAAAGATGAAACCTTTAAATTTGAGTACTAAGCATATAAAGATAGTTTTGGCAATTAGATTGCATGGATAAAGCAGCAAAGCATAAAAAAACATGGTATCTAGAATTTCATGGCAAACTGTGGAAGCAAAAAAAGCAGGACACTGCCAAAAACAAAAAGTGGCATTTACATAGCACACAAATCTTATGTAGTTACATATCTCACACCTAAACTTTCATATTTACACAAATAGCACTCAAATCTAAAATATCACATCAAAAGTAGCACTATTACCCCTATTTTAAAGTTAAATACACCTTTTCATGCATATGTTTTAAAGCGCCAAAATGCCATGTATGTAAATATGAGAGCTTAAGTGTGACATGTAAATACATGAGAGTTGTGTGCTACATATGCAAATTTCCCAAAAAAAAATAATGCATTAGACCGAAATGCCACCAAAATGGGAGCTATAAATTTCATGGCAAACTGAAAAGGGGAAAAGGAAGGGCACTGCCACAGTTTTCATACCACTGCCTTGCATTGTAAGAATAGCCAGTCATGTGGAACGTTGTCCAATAGATACACAAACTCCTTTGGTTCAGGTACTGTCAAAAAATTACATTTTGCATCAACAGAAAAAAGACTAACAAGTGTGATAAAAAAAAAACGGCAACAAAAAGAGTTAGGCCTGGTTTGAGGAAGCTTCCAAACTGCTTCAATTTCAGAAAAAGTCAATTATTTATTTAGAAACATGTTTGATTGTTATGCTTTTTTAAAAGTACTATTTGAAAAACTCCATTTTGATACTATTTTGGGATGTTATTCTTATAAACTTTAAAAAGCTATTTTTTCTTAAAACAGCTTTTTAACAGGTTTTTTCAAAGAAAAAGCTTAAACAAACAAAGCCTTACAGTTTCCTAGTCCACCCCATCCCTTATTAATGATGCCCCTTTGTCCAGTGATTTCTAGTGCCTCCACAATAATTCTGGTCATCTTTTCTGGTTCTTGCACAGGCTATCACATAAGCAGAAACCGGTTAAAAATTGAAAGACATAACGCACATACTTTTCTCATTAAATTTTGAGGCATGCCTACTATTTCACATGTTGAAATTACCCTATTGAATAAAGAAGGGCCTAGACCAAGCTCCTTCATCTACATATATATATATGTATTCCACCCAATTCCTATCAGTTTACATGCAACACTCAAACTTGAGGACTCGTAAGGATAAGACTAATTAAGATGACGAGGGATAAGGTTGATGAAGGATGAGCAACAGTAATATTAAGTCGTAGTCATAACTTACAAGGCTCCCAAATCCAATATAAATGGGCTTTTCACCACTTGCAAGCCATTGTACAAGTTTCTCTGGCGGTTCATAATTTGTTGCAAGGTCAAGAAAACAAAACCCTACAACATCAACTTTTGGCCCCCAATCTGCAGGTAATTAACAAAATTAGCATACAAAAAAGAAGCATGTTGCAGAAAAAGATAGATTGAAGAGAAAATAAAACATTGGAAGAAAACTATAGGTCACCACACTCCAACTCATTGTAAATGCATGATGCCAAAATAAAAAAGGACAAATAAAAGTTACTCCAAGATTAATGTCATTATGCTCGTTCAATAAAAACATAATCACATGAGATTGGTACTTTATGAAGTTTGTCAAGGCTAAATTTTAAAGTGGTGGTTAATATAATTCATGAAACTACAAAATTTGAAAAAGGTAAACTTCTTAAGGCTAAATGTGGTACATTCTTAGCGAATGAAGACAAGATGGCACGCTACTGAACTATAAACAATTTTCATTAGGGGCGTTTACAAACATACGACCCAATTTGTTAGCATTTACATATCAGACATCCTAAACTATAATTATTATATTTATTCCACCTAAATCTTTTATATCACATCAAAAATACTACCATTTTAACTATTAAAAAATGAAATACATATTTTCATGCAAGGGTAAGGTAGCATGTATGTAAAATTAAACTTTAGATGTTAGATATGTAAATACATAGGAATTGAATGGTATCTACGTAAATCTTCCTTTTCATAAAAAAGCATATAGGGAAAACATATAAGCCAAAGACACCAGAGTGTCGCTTTCTCCAAAAGGGGAGATCTGGACTTCAACAAGTCAAAAAAAGAAGAAATAAAAAGAGAAAAAAACAAAAAAAGGATGACAATGGAAGAGAGAAATAATAATAATGAAACCCAATTGGTGCATTCAGTCAGGGATATAATAAAGATATACTGCTTTTGTCCATATCTTCGAAAGAAAATCAGCAAACCCACATAGATGCCGATAACTATAATTTCACCTCCCTGATTATTAAAATTGGCTTTTGAATAGGGGGAAGTAGAAATAGCAAATTGGTACCTTTTGGTTTCGGAACAAGATGTGGGCTCCAAATATAACCATAGGGTATATCAGAAGCAGAGCCCTGGGCACCACTTAAATATGTGACAGGTCGCAGCTTCAGCTTTCTTTTCCTAAAATCATTAATCATATCTCGTATTCCAAGCCATATCATAGAATCAACAATTTGATAGGAAAGCTGCAGATGATAAACTCATTAATTAGCGAGTACGACAGCAATGTGGTACAACAAATCAATGCATCACGAAGTTTGAGGTAAACAGTAATATTCTTCAAGGAAAGAAAGGACAAAAATGAAGGTAAATTTGCTGAATAAAGAAAAAAAAAAAAGAGAATAAAATAGTGGTGAATAGAGGTATTAAAACATCGAACAGGATGCAATGAGATGTCTAACGAAAGGAACACTATAAGGCAAAACATTAAACATTAAAAAAAAATAATAATAAATAGTCAAAAGCATAATCAACTAATAATATCACTAATTATTAATATCCTTTGCATGCTTTAAATGGTAGGAATTGATTCAACCTTTAAATGGTCGGAAAATGGTTGTTATACATACATGTATATACATACATACATATGTATGTATATTTTTTTTTGAAAGCCCAAAAAAGCTAATATATTAACTAGAAAGAAAGATACAGATACAATGTGTGGGATGGCCCAAGAGCACCCTACCCACACAATAACCACAAGTGCTTCCAAAACTAGAAAATACATAAAAATACATTAGAGACTTGAAGAAAAAACCTAAAAGTGCCGAAATACATAGTCCTAAAAGTGCCGAAATACATGGTATCAGGTGTCTAGAAAGCGACCCAATTTGGTCTTGCCTCTGCCTCTGGTTCTAGGGAAGGAGCAAGCTAATAAGTTGGTAAGATGATTGTCATTGCCAGTAGTAACCAATGTATCATCCAATATGTTATGTATATATATATATATATATATAGAAAAAGCGGCTGTTCCAACTTCGTCCTCTTCGTAGAGTTTCTTTCTATTGTTCCGTCTGTCTGCTGTTCCCGCAATTGTTCTCTCGCAGGGCTTGCTTCGATTCGACACGCTGATATACGTAAAATATATAAACTTTATATACACATTTTTATACTTATTTTGAGATATTGCGCTTTAATGAAAGGTATTTGTGTATTTTTCTTTCAGGTACAATCAAATGGAAAAAAATGATAAAAAGAGTGAAAAATGATCGAATTTGGAGAAAAAATGAAGAAGGTGCAAAAATAAACTAAGGCGCCTAAGTGTCCAGTACTGACGCTTACGCGCTAGTTAAACAGAGAGAGACGCCCTTACGCACCAGGTACTCCGCGTTTAAGTGTCAGAAGTAGTTATTTGATTATTCACTGAATTTGGATGAATTTTTGAAGAGATATTTGAAGCAACCCTTGGTGAAAACACGGTAAATAGTTAATGGACACGAAAATTCATTAAATTGACTTTTGAAAGAAGGCAACTTCTAGAAGATTTCATTGAATGACACATTTTGAAGAGACGCCAAGACAACTTTTGCGTTTTTATAAAGAAAGACTTGGATCATCCAGGGAAGAAGCCGGCAGACCAGCCAATCATCATCCATCCATCCAGAGTAAAGGTCGCTGCCGCCGCCGACCACTTTTTCTTTCTATTTTGAGTGTAGCTTATGTTGTCATTGAAAGAAGAGATTCAAAGGAACTTCAAGACATTTGGTGGAGAGGATTTGAGATAAATGTTTATCTTTGTGACTACATTCAGTTTTAATTTAGACTTCTTGTTGTGTGCATTATTTCTAATTTTAAACTCAAGTGTGGTTGTGTTTTTTCATGAATTCTGAGTAGTTTTATTTTATATTTTTCATTAAAATGATAAGCGATTAAGTATTAGAGAGAGATAAGTTTTGTGAAGTATTAAATTTTTATATTGGAAGAAGTTATGATAATTTTAAACATTTTACTTCATTTACTTCTTGATTTGACCAATTAAGATGTTAATACTTGTTGTGAGAACATGTAAAATCCGAGATGGTATTGTCTCAGCCAACAAATGATAAGAATCACATTTGATTTCGTGGATGAGAATGTAGTTCATAGAGTTGAGTACAAATAAATAGAGAAATAAACTTTGAAGGATGTAGAATTAGAGGATTTTAGATTGACAGACTAAAACCCACAATTTGATTTATAGTTT